AATTATTAATTCCAGAGAACAAAATGCTATACACGAAAAGTAATTATGGTTTATATGGCTTGCTCAGTCGGCCATAACAATGTAAACTCTGCAAATTTCTCTACCCAAAGCTATAGTTTTAACCGTTGTAGGCAGTGGAACGGCACCAGGTTGTCTGACCAATGGGGTCTGACCAAACCTGGGTTCTACAACCTGGGTAGGTCCTGGCTGGGAAAGAATTCGGAGCAAGACCCAAACTGTAAGAGAACATTGATTTGGTAAATCACAGGGGTAGAAGAAGTCATTCCCAGAATAAATGGGCTTAGGAAACAAGTATGGAGGTAAGGAAGGGCCCTCCGACTGTGAGTGAGGAAACTAATGGTAGGGAGCTGGGGGAGGGGAAAGGGAAGGCATGCACATGCTCCTGGAGGGAGAGGGCACTGGTCCTCCAGAAGGTTTTAAGGGTGGAGATTTTAGGGGAGGTCCCAGGGGGAAGATCTTCATAGAATATTAGGTCGCTTCCCAGGTGTGCCCGTTCATTGTGGTCTCTCCTGATGGGCTGGCACCAGGGCAGGGGTCATTATTCATCTGGTCCTGACATCAGCAGTGGCTGGTTTTGTTGCTTCTCTGGGCCTGGAGCCAAAATACAACTGAGGCCTAGCCGTTATCTCTAGGGAAAAAGGTTCAGGGGTCCAAACCTCATGACCAGCGATATTCTGGGGGAGGAAAAGTCACCCTGGGGACAAGGTCCCACCCTGCCATTGATTGCTGGGCACCTGGGGTTTTCCAGCCCCATCCCCCTCTCCCCCCCGCCCCTATGACCTTCTGCACCGGGTCCGTGTCCTTGCTTTGCTCTCATCTGTTTAACTGCCTACAACACAACTATAATTGGACTTAACTGTAATTGGGAAAGAAGTGTGAGGCGGTGATTTAGGGGAGAGGTGGTTTGTAGGAGTGAAAAGAGAGTAGTTATATTCTTGTTTTCCAGGGTAGGAAGTGGATAGGTAATAACTACAACGGAAAAATCAGAGGTAGTAATACAAGCATATTATATACAGAAATTTCTAAGAGATATTTGGGGTGTAAGCATTATTAGAAAAAAAAATTCAACCCAGTGATTTTGGAGACTTAATTGGCTTTATTAAGCGATTCATGAATCAGGCAGCATCCCATCCAGCTGCCTGAAGGGTGCTCTGAGGCATTTTACAAAGTGGAAGGTTTTTATGGGGTTGTGTATGTGTGTGTGTGTGTGTGTGTGTGTGTGTGTGTGTGTGTGATGAGGGAGCTATTAACAAAAGAAATGATTATTTTAGGGCTTAAAAATCTTTTCTTTGGGGGAAGTGAGAGGGTTTTTATCATGCATATTGCCTCTGCTTTCTATGGGGACCGGAGGGGCCCCTGTGACAGATTACCTTACTGGTGCCTGACCAGAAAATCCAGGCCTGGTTAATTAAGATCATGTTTCTGGCCGAAGTAGAAACTGCAGTTAGATCAGGTGTTAACTCTCGGTTTGGCACAAAGGGATCGGAGCACAAGTGAGGCCTGCTGGGCCTGTGATTTCGTCTCTGACAACATGGAGATGGGTGAGAAGCTGAAAGGGTCCGGGAAAGGAAGGCCTGGCCCGGGGCCTCGGACCTACTCTTTCTCTCAGCACAGCTTTTACAATAGTTGATTCTTGGATCATATGCAGGTATAATTTTTTTCTCTGAAAAAAAGAAAAATTCAAACCACAGCAAGTCTAGAATGCATGCCATGTAATGAGGGGCAGTATTGTTTCATGAAACTCATTTCAGTTGAGTATGCAAGTACGTGTGCCCTGGATTGATTTTGTTGTTGCTTTCTGTGTGTGGGCCGTGGCAAACAGCGTGAGAGCCGTTTGCAGTGTTTTCTCATTGCCAGTTCACCTTTCACACTCCTTCCTGTTCTTTACAAATATTTTATGATTAAACGTGCTACTTTTGTAATTAAAATGACAAGAAGAGCCCTGGCTGGTGTGGCTCAGTTGGCTGGGAGTTGTCCCAAGCAGCTGAGAAGTTGCAGGTTTGATTCCCGTACATGCCTGGGTTATTGCAGGCTACATCCCCCAGTAGGAAGCGTGCTGGAGGCAGCTGACCAATATTTTACTCTCACATCGATGTTTTTCTCCTCCTTTCCTCTCTTTCTCTCTCAAAATATCGGCAAAAATATTTTTTAAAAATGACAGGGAGGCCAAAACCAGTTTGGCTCAGTGGATAGAGCGTCGGCCTGCAGACTGAAGTGTCCCGGGTTCGATTCCGGTCCAGGACATGTACCTTGGTTGCGGGCACATCTCCAGAACGGGGTGTGCAGAGCCCCTTATCGATGTTTCTCTCTCATCGATGTTTCTAACTCTCTATTCATCCCTCTTCCTCTCTGTAAAAAATCAATAAAAATATTTTTTAAAAAATGACAGGCAGAAGAGGAGGAGGGATTTTATAGGTTAATACAATCCCAAGGTAGACAAGCCCTGTTCACAGTGACTGCTGAGGTCACCACACTTGGGGGTGGGGGGAGGCAGCGTCCTCCAAGTGGGCATGCCCGCCCCCCTCCAGCAGTGGCAAAGGCTCGGTGTACACTGATAATACAAACGTCGTCATGGTGAGTGTATCAATGGAAACCTTTTTAGAAAAATCACTTTTAAATGTACCGCCCCATGCAGCCATGTTCATGCTCTCATGTTCCATTTTGGCCTTTAACCACATGCCTACAAATGGTTTCATAATTGCAAGCTGTGATGTGCAGATTTCATACTTGATGCATATTTTTTTTATTCTCTTGGTTTATTTTCTTGAGGTAAATTCTTAGTCATGCATTTATTGGATTAGGGGTATGACCATTTTGGGGAGGAGGGGGTTGAATGTCTCACCGTGTTGCTTATGAAAGAGTGGGAACAGTTTAGTCTGCTACTTTGAACTAACCAGCCTCACATGGGCTGGCAGCCACAGTGGTGGTTATCTTGTTAAATTAAAAGGTGCAAAATAACATCTCTGGATTGTCTTGAAGTTTTATTTCCGGGGACGTTGCATATTTTTCCGTCTGGTAACTACATTTCAGTATAATATCCATTTCCTTTGTCCTTTCTAAAACTCAAGTGTTTTATTTTAAGTCTGAATTTTTGTTGTTAATTTTTACCCTTTGTTATAATTGCTGCTAACATCATTTATGTTTTCTTTTTTTATTTTAGTTTACCTTTTAATTGTATGGGAATGTTAAAACTTTTTATGTTTTATATTGATATTTTTGTTCTTTGGCTTTTCCCCCTCTTGACTCAAAAGTGAAGGTCAACGGAGGCCTGAAATACCTGCTCTCTCACTGTGCATGGGCGTGTGTGTGTGTGTGTGTGTGTGTTTGTGTGTGTGTGTTTGTATGTGCGTGTATGCATGCCTGTGCACCTACATGCAGCCTGCAGCATTCAGAGGGATTCTGGCTTATTAGTTAGTCCCAGCTATCTCCGCAGTTAAGTGATGCTAACTTTCCCTAATGTTTAGAGACGTTGATTTTAAACACTTGCCTTCTATTTGCCTCATAAATGGTTTATTCTGTTTTAATGTTTTGGATTTGGGAGACGGTTGGAGGATGTGACATTACATTTTTCTGAGAGTTGTTTTTTAATGCTAGAAGCCCCCACAAAATAGCTTTTGGAAAGCCTTCTGTGTTGGCGGTGGTAATGAGCTCATGCATCTTCTTTTAGGAAGCGCAGACTCAGTCTGCGTGTGCTTTAAGGTAACGGGTTTGGTGTTAATTGAATTCATTAGTTGGGAGAGAGCTAAGTTCCTCTGATGTGACTCAGTTTAGCAAATGAGATGGAATGTCAGGGATGACAGCCGCTTTGGAGTCGTTTTCGCTGAGGTTTGGGTCTGATCTGGGTTGCAGTTTCAGCACCACGGCCTTTATTGGCTTCTTGGGGCTCTTTGTGAATGTGGCTCCACCTCAGGCTGGCAGCTCAGCGGTGCTCATCAATCTTTTATCCTTCGCTGAGGTTTGAAGGCACAGGGCTGAGCTCGGCGTTGGCTGTATTCCCTCAAACCGGCCAGCGGGCCCCGGGTAGGAGGATGTGGCTCGGGCTGGAGTCCAAACAAGTCTGCTTACCTCCTTCCATTTAAATTCTGGGCTGTGCTCATGTGACACTCGGCCCCTCTTGTGTGCGACCCTGACCTTCAGGCTCTGCTTCTCCAGCTCTGGCCTGCAAAACGGAGCAGAGCAGGGGCGCGAGGCAGCCTTCCCTCCCAGCTCCAAGGTTATGTGGAGGAGGACTGGGCTGCAGGCTCGCCCCACCCTGCTAGTGAGTCAAGTACCTTCTCTTTCAACAGGGAAGAATCAACAAGTAGGGGAAGAACCTCTAGAGTGTAGGGCCCTGAAAACTGTGTTTATTTATTTTTATATTTTTATTGATTTCAGAGAGGGAGGGTGAGGGAGAGAGATAGAAACATCAGTGATGAGGGAGGATCATCGATCAGCTGTCCCCTGCACGCCCCCTACTGGGGATCAAGCCTGCAACCCAGGCCCGTGCCCCCGCTGGGAATCAAACCGTGATCTCTTGGTTCAAATCTGTGTTTAGAACCAATAATTCTGATGCTGCCAGCTGGTCTCCTCAACACCAGTGACATTAGGGACCAGCCACTAAGGTCCTGTTTTAGTTGAGGATGCTGAGGCCTGGGCTGGGGAGGGGGACTTGCCCAGGCAGGCCTTTGACCATCGCCCATTCCTGTTGGAGGGCGGGGCGGGGTGGGGCGAATGGTGGTGACAGCTGGGGCTGTGGATCCCGCTCTGTGGCTCTGTGGGAGGGGTGGTGAGCAGTCACACTGCCCATTTCTAGAGGGATGTGGCTTCACGTCCCTGCTGGGCACCGCTTTCTCAGAACAGCGGCAGCCCGAGGTGCCTCGCAGGGCGTGCACAGCAGCCACTCGGCAGCTTCTCACTGGTGGTTGTGGGCCGGTGGTGTCCTCACTGCCAGTGTTTTGAAGCTGAACCTGCTGCCTCATGGCTCCCATGTCTCTCCACAGGTCCTGCTTCTCGGAAGATGCACTATTATAGATACTCCAACGCTGAGGTCAGCTGCTGGTACAAGTACCTGCTCTTCAGTTACAACATCGTCTTCTGGGTGAGTGCATGGGAGCGGCCGCCTTCCCTTGCTTAGTGCTTCGCTAGTGAACCATGATTCCTCACGTGCTTTGGATTTGCCAGGCCCTCTGAGGCTGTGTGGGATGGTGGGTAGGGCTGATGAGCCCTGCTCTAGCAACAGGTTTTAAATAGACCCTTCAGTGCCGTGATGGGGAAGGCCCCGGTGATGGAAAACCTGACTGAGCGGTCCAGGCATTCTGGTGATTGAATACCAGGCTACCCCAGCCTTGGGGGTTCAGGATGGCTTGGGGCTCTGGTCCAGATATTTGTCTCCCCCATCACTGCTCCAGAGAATCATCCGGGCAGAGTATTTTGTTTGCATCAGCCTGTGGGCTAGGCCCTGTCCTGGCTCTGGAAGCTTAGACTGGGCAAGGGCCATAAAGCCCTGCCCTGCGGTGCCATGTGCAACCAGGAGTGGTATTAGCTCCTGAGCAGTGGAGAGGGAGGGGAACGGCTCCTGGACTGGGGACCTCAGAAAAGAACATCCCGAGGAGGGAATCTGTGGACCGAGACCTGGATGCGAGTGAAGAGGCAGCCACATGGGGATCTGGGGAAGAAAGCTCCAGGCCTGAGGCAGGAGTGAGCTTGGCATATGCCTGGTACGAGGAGAAGGCCATGTGGCTGGCGCTGAGTGAGCGCAGAGGAGAGGAGACAGTGAGGATAGGGCCACGAAGGAGCCCAGTCAGGTAGGACCATCTGGTTCTCAGTGAGGATGGAGTCATGTTCCACTTATATTGTATTTTATTGATTTTTTTTTTTTAGCAGAGAGAAAGGGAGAGAGATAGAGAGCTAGAAATGTCTATGAGAGAGAAACATCGACCAGCTGCCTCCTGCACACCCCCATCAGGGATGTGCTCGCAACCAACGCACATGCCCCTGACCGGAATCGAACCCAGGACCTTTCAGTCTGCAGACCTATGCTCCACCACTAAGCCAAACCGGTTTCGGCTATTTTATTGATTTTTAAAAAAATATATTTTATTGATTTTCCACAGAGAGGAAGGGAGAGGAATAGAGAGCTAGAAACGTCGATGAGAGAGAAACATTGACCAGCTGCCTCCTGCACACCCCCTACTGGGGATGTGCCCACAACCAAGGTACATGCCCTTGACCGGAATCGAACCCGGGTCCCTTCAGTCCTTAGGCCAACACTATCCACTGAGCCAAACTGGTTTCGGCATGTTCTACTTTTTGTAGCGACTCTTGGTAGGTTGTCAGTTGGATGGCATGATCTGATTTTGGAATGGTCCTGCAGAGTGAGGGGATGGATGGTGGGGCCGTGTGCTGAGATGGAATTTGGGAGCAGGAGGGATTGGATGGCCTCCTAGCCAGGTATATAGAGCTGTCACTCTCCTATGTTAGTGACCATTCTGAGTCTAAACCCCCATCACAGGAAGGGGTGGGATGGATGAGGATGAGATCCTGTTGACCGAAGGGAGACCTGGCTGTTGAGCCCTGGGATGCGGAGGCAGGGTTTGGTGGCAAGTCCTCTCCACCGTTGGCTGTGTGCGAGTGGCCTGAGGTAAAAGGAAGATGAGGTTTATGTTGTGAAGTCCGGAGAGGTAGCCTTTCAAGTAGGAAGGAGCGATGAGCTGTCCCCCGGGAGGTGAAATAGGAAGAGGATGTAAAGTTGACATTAGCTTTGACAAGGTGAGGGTTGTTGGTGACCTTGACCAGACCTGCTTTTTGCTCCGGGAAGGGGGTGGGGGTGGGGGGGCTGACACCCACCTGGAGTTGGCCGAGGAGCCAGTGGGACATGAGGAAATGGAGACTGGTGACTTAGGACATTTCTTCCAAGGACCCTGGCCCAGAAGGGGAGCAGGACAATGGGGCACTGGCTGGAGGTGGTCTGGGGGTTATGGAAGATACATCGCGAGTGTGATGCCTGTGGGGTTGGTCCAGAGACACAGACATTGGTTCAGCTGGGCAGGAGGGCGAGGGCACCAGCATGAAGAGGCTTCTAGAACCGTAGCAGGTATTGCTGACCAGCGTCTGTGTGGGCAGATGGAGAAGGATGGACAGAGCGAGCGGCCACGGTGCCACCTCTCGCCTCCACTGTGGATTTTGGCATTTCCTGTTGGGATTGGAATTTTTTCCCCCTCCATGCCAGCTGGCTTCCTGAAACTTACTCTTAATTGTAGTTGACAATATCGTATAGTTTCAGGTGTACAATATAGCGACTCAACATTCGTACACGTCATGGAGTGCTCCCCGCAGCGTCTGGTGACCTCTGTCACCATTGTTAGGCCTGAACTCTGGAGAACAAGGCGGACTTACGGACACTTCCCCGGCCTCCACCCTTGATTATACAGCACCACCTCCTCACGATGTATCTCCAGGTCGTGGGGTTTCTGTCCGGGAGAATTAGGGTGGAACTCGGCGGCAGGGCGTTCACCCAGGTCTTTCCTGAGCTCAGACATTTCCCCAATGCCGTCATTGCCCTGAAGCAGGGCAGGGCCCGGCATGGGACGTGGTTCCTTCGTAGACACGTCCCAGAGACCTTCCTCATGGGGCGCTGGCTGTCCCATCCTCGAGGTGTGCGGCTTCCAGACCTGCAGGGAGCGTGGAGAGCCCCAGCCGCTGTATGGCGGAGTGCCACCTGCCAGGCGTGCCGTCTCACACGTCGGCCACTTGCACATCCAGCTGTCTTATCCCCCCGGCTGTGCTCCTGGCCTTGTGCCCTGACCTCCGATTCTCATCCCGGTTTTTGCAGCTGGAGGGAACCTCTCCCAGCGCTGCCGTGGCTCAGGGTCCTGATGTCCCCATGTCCTCAGAGGCTTTTCGGAACAGAGTCCTTGCTCTGGGAAGCTGTGCTCATTTGCGGGTAGCATCTTTGCAGCACCCGATTCACAGAGTGGAGCTCCTGAGTCCAGAATCGTGGCCGTTTGTTTAGTGGCTGAAGGCTGCCGCAGTGTGCTGGGAGTTTTGCAGAATTTGCAGTGCGCATGGTCGAGAGTTCATCATTTTCAGTTGGTGTGCACTGGGCAGTACAGGAAGGGACAAAAAGGAACGCTCAGGAAATGAGGTGGTGGGGAGGTTTGTGAGGCGCGGGGGGGGGGGGGGGGGGAGGAGGGATGCCAGGCACCTGGCTGGGAGGCTACCTGGCCCTTCCCTGCTGTGTTCTGGGTGACTTGTAGTCCTCTGCCCAGGAGCTGGGAGTCTGCGTGAGACCTAAGAATGGGGCTGCAGAGCCCTCAGGGACCCGCATGGGGCCAGTCTGGACTCTCTAGAACTAGTGACCTCCTAAGCTCCGTGTTTTCATTATGAAATACTGATCTCACTTACCTGCTGCTTGCCCCACAGGCTGCTGAGATGTCTCATGATATGCAAAACCCCTGCCTCCTTAGAGTACCGTATTTTTCGGACCATAAGACGCACTTTTTTCCCCCCAGAAGTGGGGGGGGAAAAGTCCTTGCGTCTTATGGTCCAAATATAGCCTACACATATACTTTAAAAAAAAAGTTTTTTTACTTGCCCGGCTCTGTGTGGTCTCTGTGTGCTTGCCTGGCTCTAAAATGGTTCTATAATAAATGCTGCTGTTTACTTTACAGGGTTGATTACATGTGTTTATGACTGTGATGTTGGGTTTTAATGCACATAAAATATTGTAGGACACTATTTGTTTCAGAATCTTTTTTTCTTCATTTCCCTTCTCTAAAAACTGGTGCGTCTTATGGTCCGAAAAATACGGTAGTTCTCTTTTAAAAAAGAGGATAATGGACGCCATGTTCCCATATCCTAGCTCCAAAAATTACCAATCATCCAATCGCACGTCATTTCTGCCCCCACACCCACACCCTTGGAGATTGTGAAGCCAAGCACAGTCAGGGAGTTTTACAGTGTTTGGTTTGTTTGGACAAGATGACAGTGCCTGGGCTCAGCAGGCCGGTTTGCGTGTGCGAGGGCAGCCTGCTGTTGCTCGGACCACTTCCAGGTGCTGAACAAGAACAGGCTTCATTTAGCAGTCTGTCTCCCTCTGTTTTCACAGCCACAGTCTCTATGACAAACACCTGTAACTCCTGCAGTTTTCTTAAGCTTCTCTCCCTCCAGTTTAGGGACAGATGTTTTCCAAGCCGGGAACGGTAATCCTGGCTCCTTAGGGTGATACAGGCGGATGTGCATGTCTGGGTCTGTTCTGAACGGCACCTGTTCCGATCACAGGTGTGTCCTGAAACAGCGCTCCCAGCCAGCACAGCACTTTGAGGGCACCAGCATTTCTTACATGTTACAACATTATTATAACCATCATTTGTTTGTGTTAGACCCGTTTCTAGCACAAAATCTCACTTTGACTTGGGGAAATGCAAATCAAAACCACAGAGATACCACTTTAAACCCATGAGGACGGCTATTACGAAAAGAACGGAACATGACAGATGTTGGCAGGGTTGTGGAGAAATTGAAACCCTTGTGCACTATTCATGCAACTGTAAAATGGTGCAGCTGCTGTGGAAAGTAGTGTGGTGGCTCCTTGAAACGTTAAAAAATAAAACTACCACTTCTGGGCATATACCCAGAAGAATTGAGGGCAGGGTCTGTGGTGATATTTGTACACCCATGTTCATAGCAGTGTTATTCATAGTAGCCAAAGGCAGAAGCAGCCCAGGTATCACCTGCCAGATGAATGGGTAAACGAAACGGGGGCTGTGATGCACGGGAACATTTTTCAGTCTTAAACAGGAAGGCAGTCCCGACACAAGTGGATGAACCTTGAGGACGGACGCTGTGGGAAGTGAATAAGCTGACAGAAAAGCACAAATACTGTGATTCCATTTCATTGGTGCCCCCAGAGCAGCCAGATTCATAGAAACAGGAAGTAGAATGGTGGTTGCCAGGGAGAGGGGGGAGGGAGAATGGGGAAGTTATTTTTCAATGGGTGGAGTGTCAGTTTTGCCTGATAAAAAGTTCTATGGCCCTAGCTGGTTTGGCTCAGTGGATAGAGCAGACTGAAGGGTCCCGGGTTCGATTTCAGTCAAGGGC